ATTATTATTATTATTATTATTATTATTCCCACTCCGATCGGGACACTAGGTCCACCGTTTCCCCGCAGCGAGGCTCCCCCCGTTGACAGTTTACGTGGGCTGGGCTGGGTGCAGTGGCGGACCGATGGGCCGGTACCGAAGTGGGCCGGTCGGATAAATCACTAGCACATCCCCCACTCCCCCCGTTGACAATTTACTAGTGGTACCGAAGTGGGCCGGTCGAGAGTCCCGGGCTGATTTGTAGTCCCAGTCCACCACTGGCTACATGACCGTATGATCGCCCATATTAACGCACCTAATTCCTAAACTTCTAACAGATACAACATAAACCGATCCTTCAGCCTCATATGAGCTCTCAGACACGTTCAAAATTAAACTGTCATCGCTGTCTGAGCTTGCTGCTGTGTGCCCCATCATGCGTTTACATGCAGATGCTGGGATCCTGAACGGTGCAGCTGGAGCGCTGTGCCCGCAATGACGTCACACATAATTTGGCGGGACTTGAAGAATCCCCGAGAAGATCTAGAAAATTGTCAACATTGAAGGGCAGATTAATGGTTATCAAAGTACAAATATCCAAAATCAGTTCAGTAACGGTTTTCAAGGGGACAATATTTACTCAAATTGATGGGTTTGGATGATGGGGGAAACTCGTGTCACAGGCTCTTTAATCTGTGTGAATCTGTGCTGTCCTGTTTTTCAATCTTACCCTGTTGCTGTTAAACTACTGAATTTCCCCACGGGATTAATATAGGTCCATCTTATCTTAAACAGTATATATCACATGCTAAACAACATATCTTAGTTTTGTTTTCTGATATATGCAATATTATTTCCCTCAAATATATATTTGACTTGTTTTATCCATATGGGCTGATACCTTAACAGGACATACGATTACTCGGTGGTGCACCCTGGAGCTAATCTGAACATGATCGTTGGAGCCAACGGAACTGGCAAGTCCAGCATCGTGTGTGCCATCTGTCTGGGTCTGGCCGGCAAGGCCGCCATCCTGGGCCGAGGCGACAAGGTAAACGGCAGAGAAACACAAGCACTGGTAGATGTTCTCTGGACTTGATCAGTTCTTGCTTTCTTTACAAATGACCTGTGAGTGACTAAAATGCATGACTTGATGGATAGATAGGCATTAGGCACTGTTATTTGAAGGTCTTTCATTGTCCTCCTAAGCTTTATTTATGAGTTTGTTGTTATTGGTAAGATCCCCAAACCAGTCTTAATCAGTCCATCCATCATTCAATTATTTTAGCTCACAAATAAGTTAAAATTCTTATGATTTGTATGTTACTATTTGTATTTTACTATTCGTTTTGTTTTTTTCCCGTATAGGTTGGGCTCTATGTCAAACGCGGCTGCAATAAAGGATTCGTTGAGATCGAACTGTAAGTTGTGTGAAAGAGTTTGCAAACACGCACTGTAATTCTTTTTTAAATGAATACATTACTCATTTTGAAAACACAATTCAGTATTTGAGAAATTACGAGTCAAAACTTAAATTATACCCCTATTTTGAGTCTTTCAGCTATTTAATGATTGAAAGATTGTTGCAATATATATCCAAGTCAAAGTCAACTTTAATGTCAATCTTACTTAGTTTGTGTTTACAGACAATCCCGAATGTAAAATTATACAGTAATAAAGATATGTATACAAATACGTATAAAATATGTATATCTTATATACACAATCAAGAGACACATTTACACATATGCACACATTAAGATACAAAAAAAACAACAATCAATATATACAAAATAACAGTCACTTCAATATCAATAACTTTGATGCAAGATTGTCCATAAAATGTGCATTTATTGCAGATTGTTCATAGCAAATATATATATATACTTTTATTGTGAATGTATCTGATTAAAGAATCAAAATGTTGTTGTTGTTCCAGGTACAAGACTGAGGGTAATGTAGTGATACACAGAGAGATCCATGTGGAGAACAACCAGTCACTGTGGATGCTCGATGGAAAGATCTGCAGCCAGAAAGCAGTGGAAGAAGTTGTCAAGGCTCTGCAAATCCAAGTCAGCAACCTCTGCCAGTTTCTGCCTCAGGTATGTTTGTGTCAACAGGGCTCGACATTAAGGGCTGCCCGATGGCCCGGGGCCATCTAGTATTTAGCTCGGGCAATGAAGCCTCACCTGCTGGTTGCCCGATCGGGCAATCTATTATGCCAGTATCATGCAGCTCGCGGATCCAGTAATGAGTGACCCGACATTAAAACTAAACATATCTATAACTAGTTTAGGTAGTTTGAGAGGTAATTTAAAATTACCTCTCAATAACAGAGTAATTTGCTCACATTGGGTTCAACGCGTCATAGAGCGAGCAAGTCATTTCATTGGACGAGAGGCATACTATGAGAGCTGGTCAGAGGGATGCGTTCAAATTTAGTCAGTCATTTGAGGAAATGGCGAACGCAGATAAAGTTGAGCTCGAAAATCCTCCAGCATCATTTAAGTATCGGGTTTGGGAACATTTTGGTTTCGCAGTTACGTACAAGGATGACGGACAAACACAGGTGGACCAAACCAAAGCTGTTTGTCGGCATTGTTCAACTAAACTCAATTACCGTTACGTGTGATATTCTAACCTGAAGTGTGTGTTTTGTCTGCTCACCGCTGCATGTGATCATGCAGAGCTGCGTGTCGACTCGTCAGCAGCAGCTGATCCCTCTCCCATCAGATTAGACTTCACTTGCGTTTATGTCCATATTGATCAGATCTAGCTAGTTCTAGCTAATGATATGACTACCTGCTTATTAAAAGACACCTAAACAATAAGTGTCGCTATGCAACTGGGTGAGGCCACAAAGTATAGCGCAGTATTATGCATTTGTTTACATGTCCACCGGAACCCCAAGGCATTACCAACAGATCAACGCACAATCAACCCATACAGGACATCTCTTTCTCCACATTAAGTGTTAGACATTAGAATTGAGTACTCTTGTCTGTCACATACTCTTCTTGTCTGTCACATAAGTGGCGCAACTGAAGCGGTATTGCGCTAAAGGGAAATTATTTTGACCGGACATTTTGACCGAAGAGATTTAGATTTGCCGGCTAACGGGAACTCTGACGTTGCCATTTTGTGTGCTTCGCGGATGCGCACGGCTGCTCGGGTCTGCTCGGTCAGCTTCCGGATGAGGAGGCATTCGTTCGACCAGGGCCCTTTCTCATTTCTCTAACTCCCCTCCTCGACTCCTATCCTCGATACTTAGTCCCGTCCACAGGAGATGCGAGCGGAGGAGCCGAGGAGGGGAACCGAGGAGAGAGGAGGGGAAGCAGCAGACGGTTAGAGAAATGAGAACTCCTCTCCTCTGAGCGGTCATTTTAAGAGAAATATATATATAATATTTATATACAATTTCAGAATCAAACAGAGCACTCTCATAATAACGTAACACTATCAGAGACTGGATATATCCCCCCTCGCTACAATAAGGAAAATAAATTACGGGCCAAAAGTTTTATTTACAAGTATTAAAAGTAAGCAGAGGACACCAAACCAACTGAGACATTTCTGTCCGCTGCATCTACGCACACACTGTACCACACACACCTACACCACAGACACGCACCTACAGCTCCTAAAACAGGCTACAGCCGTTGTGTATTTTATTATGTGAAGCACTAAATGTTTTTAGAAAAATATTGACTCTTTGTTTGTAGATATCTACTAAAGCAAATACAGAGAGTAATGTAGGCCTGTTATACTGAGTGATATATATTATACACACTGCTCTGCTTTCTGCACGGACCTCACAGCTGTTCTCACTGTAAACATCGCGTCGCGATGAAACCAGTTAATAAAATAATATCCAGGGGATGCATGCAGAGCTGTCATTGGCTGAGATAAGTCCGGCTGTGCCCGCGAATTCCTGTCCCGCAAATTTGCGGGTCTAGCTATGTACTGAGTGTGTGTATTTCGCGGTTTGAGTGATGTAAAATGACAATGGTATCCCGTGGAGGAATTCTGAAATGTTTACCGTCTTACATCACAAAAACGCACAGCATGAACCAGCCCCTGGAGCGCCGGCCTTCTTTATACTTACTTCCCCTTCATCCCCTACTATGGGTTAATAAGGCTGAGATGAAGAACCCTCCATCGTATTTAGTCCTTAGCAATATGCTGCGCCTCTCCCTATGTTGGATGGGTACCGAGCCCCGGTATTAAACGGGCTCCGCCGGGCCGGAGTTATTAAAGACGAGTGGTAACGTAAGCTCCGACGTTATCTGACTTTCTATCGGTACTGGAGACTATTTAAAAAATATATGTCCATATGTATTATTGTACATAAACATTATATCGCAGTTTTGTTTAGCCAACTCCGTTTCTAATATGCAATAATACTACAACATGCGTCTGTCTGATGTATTTTCGAGCTTCCAATCCAGACGAGATCTCTCTCTCCCGTTGTGTAGCGATGGGGGCGGTGGAAGTTTGTAAAGGTCTCCTGACTGTGTTACTGACTGTCATCCTGGTAGTTGGTTACTCTGTCGTTCTTCTTTCAGACAGAGTGTTGGATTGTTTTTGTAATTGGATGGACTTGATTTGATTCAATATGAGTATTTCTCGTTTTGTGTGTTTGTTAAATATATTTGGCCTTTGTCATGCTGATGACTGATTTACTCAAATTAAAAAGGTTGATGGAATTATCATCTAATGGATTTGTATTGATGTTTATTTATGTTAATAGGTCACTATTGAATGATTTTAACTAATGATAACTTATAAAAACTAATATTTTAAATTCGGGACGGTCCCACATAATTTCGGTGACTGCTTAGATTGTATTTCGGGACGGTTCCGGCGAGGAATGGTGAAAAAACTTAGTCGAGAGCCCTGCGTTCACTGTTTTCATCTTTCCGTTGATGAGGTTGGTTTCTTCCTACAGGAAAAAGTTTGGAGAGTTTGCAAAATGTCCAAGATTGAGGTTGCTGGAGCAAGCAGAGAAGTCAGTGGGACACCCAGAGATGTTTGCATACCACTGTGAGCTCAAAAACTTCCGCACCAAAGAAAGTGGAAACTGGGTACCATCATTATGTTGAATAATTTATTATTTCTCAGAGAGCTGTCAAATTTAGTCTGAAAAGTCTCTTCCTATTCACATCCTAGGAAAGACTTCCAACTTCTTTCAACAACGTTTGTCTGACAGTAGGCAGATGCCATGTTTTACCAACACTCATAACGCACTTTACCCCAATCCATTATTTAACTTCATATAAAAGTTCTGATTTGATTCCTGTTAGAACATTGTGAAGGAGGGGAAGGCCAGTTTCCTGGAGAAGGCCAAGCAGAGGAATGAGAGGAACAAACATGATGTGAAGCTGTCTACTACGAAAAGAAGAGACCACCTGGAGTGATTTGTAACTTGACAAGAAAAAACCATGGTGGTGGATGGTGGGAAATTAAACTCTGACTGCAAACTTGGATTTAATGTTTGTCCCTTTCCGTACAGGCAGTCCAACTGAATGATTTGGACTGTCAGCTCTGATTCTTCCGCATTTGCAATACTAGGAGTATGAGACAACCCGTAAAGGAGCTCTGAGGAGTGAAGACAAGAGCGAGGACGAAGCCAAAAGCAAAGCTCTCTGCCCTGAAGCAAGCGACGCGCGCCCATGCTGAAGGAAGATCAAGCTGATGAAACCAGTCTGAACCCTCTGAGGCCCAATATAAAGGGGGGGCCCTTTTAAGGGGGGGTTGGGGGATTTAAATGCATGTTTTACTTTTGATAGGGGCTGTAGGCACGATACTAAAGAAGAAATATTGTTTGTAATTTTCTGTAGATATCATCCAGCCTGCATTTATACATATGATCTGTCCGGTATCTGAGGAGGGGTTACAGGTGTCGCGGGTCTTAAAAAAGTATTAAAAGTTGATAAATCAATTTAGCGAAAATTAAGGCTATTAAAAAGGTAGTTAAACGGCATTTTCAAGGTTTAAGAAGTCGCCACAGCCAACACAACATGAAACACCCTTTAATTTACTGAAACGACATGTCGGGAAACCCCCTCAAGGCGCCCCATGCATATCGCGCCGTAAAAATGCGCTTCTTATTTTAAGTTTCTTGCTTGTCGCTCTGTCCCTTGGAGAGCGAGAGGTGGCTGTTTTCATCTGCTGGTGGACTACCTGAGAGATATACAGCAGGAGAACACGCCGCCACCGGGAGGATATAAACAGAAGGGCAACCATGGAAACCATTGCTCCGGGTCTTTCTTCGCTGCTTTGTGTATTTTGTGCGCGGCGCAGCAGCGCCAGCTTACAGGCCTGGGCATATGTACTACATGTTTCCAGCATTCCAGCGGTCTATGTGAACGGACACATTAATTGAATCAATGCGTGTGATACGGAAACTTC